TATTTTTCCATTTGCATAAATGCAAAAACAAAGGTCTACCTGGACTTTTAATTTAATTTTCAACTTGTGAATAAAAATTACCACTCAGCATTAAAAACTCTTCGAATAAATTTTAAGGCGGTGAGGCCCTCGTTTGTTTAAATACCCAAACTTCTTCGTTAATTTCGATTCACGCAGAGAGTGCTATCATTCGCCAAATTTTTACACCTCAGAAAATTCTTTATTTCAACAAAATCTGAAAAAATTCCTCCTTCTTCATTATTACATTTTTAATGCATTTCCGTTCATTCGATCTGACAAACTGTCAATTTGTATTAAAAGTGGATTTTTGTGGTTTGTTAAACAAGCTCGGGAACCTCTCTTTTTTTGGAAAAAAGTAGCGGTGCACACCAATGAACCAGCGAGACTATGGTTTTTACGCGAAAACCTGCTGCGGGAAATCACATGCAAGTGCAAACATGGGTTTTTGGCCGAATCATTCGTGTTTCTTGGGAAGTAGAACGATTTGAAATTTAATTTTGTATTTCCTGACTCGTGGATGGCCAAAGATGATACCCTAGATTTAAAATTACAGCCTTCTCAATTTTGCTGTTGATTCACCATGATGCAGAAGCACAAAAATGCCTAAAATAGTCCGCAAAAATACGTGTTTTTTGTTGATCTGTACAGGATTCCGCTGTAGAGTTAGCAGTTTCACGTAAGCTACCTTTCTTGAAGGTTAAAATATCTAGCAAGGTTTTTCGAAATTTGCGTGTTCGAAAGAACCAGATAAGTTTCCAGCCTGTGTGTTTCATCCTTTAGCTGTAAACACAGACAGAGCATCGGATGCGAGTAAGAGTGAGAATCGTCAGCACAGCCTCCTACTCACCATGTAAGAAAGATGCGGATTTCTTCGCTCAAGACCTTGAATCTCTTACATAACCGAGGACTTCATTTTTCTGGAAATGAAATAAGACAGGCGAAAAGCAGACGCACAGGCATGCAAAAAGGTACTGCGAGACATGATTTTCTTTTGGTGCATTCATGCACTACAACATTTGATTCGGAAGCGCATAAAAAGGTTGATTTTGAAGGGCAGCCAAGGAAAAAATCTTGGGAAAAATACAGAGTGCTTCCACTAGGACAGCGGTGCCTCTAGAGAGGAGCCTGGAGGAGGTAATTCAGAATGAAAGCGGCGGGTAACTTCATCAAATACAGTTTAAAAGAGAATAATAAAATCTGAGTGATGCATGCGTGACGGCATCAGCTTTTTCCTTTGCTCGGATTGCCTTTTATCTTTTCAGTGGATTTTTAACGATTTTTTGATCGTTTTTCGTCAAAGATCAAAGAGAACTGGTAAAGGACTTTTGATACATCATATGCCTTCAATCTGGACTTCCACAATTCGTCCTCATATTATTTTACTTTCCCAGAACTCCTCTCCTCCGTCATCTCACTGAAAGACAATATCCTGCTGTGCTGAAGGGAAGGCCTGTTCCCTTGCTGAATATTGCTGCGGCCATTACTTCAATCAGCTGGTGGTCAGCTTGCCGATGATTTGAACATCTACCTAATTCTCCCGTCGACCTTTTAAACCTTGAATTTGCTCAGCTTGATTAA